AGGGAGGGAGGTCTACATTTTTCATTCCAAGGGAGACTCCAGCCCTCCCTCACAGACACCCGTCTTAAAATTACAAATGGCTACACCTGCGCTGCCAATACATTACACCATAGAAGTCTCAGTTAAGGGTCAAAAAAGGCATTTATTAGATTATTAGAACAATGTTATGTACAAATATACAAATATGTAAGAATATACAAGTACCAACTTAAATTATGTTAAGAAAACATAATTTATTTCCAGCTTCTACAACAACTCACTATACATAAAAATCAATTAGCTGTTTAACAATTTTTTATGTATTACTATAAACCTACGGCCCATGTAGAAATACAAAAATATACTTTCCCTCTCTAAATGACAGTATACAAATAGTGATCATCACAGCTGACAGAACTATACAACTCTACCACTCCATACATGTGTAAATGGAACTAAATACACAGCTATACACAAATTCATATAAACGCGTATAACTGTAACAATATACAGATGTACATATAGATTTAGTATTACATACAATATATATAAACAGATATATAAAACATCAAGATAACATAACAGATATATAAAAAATATCAAGTTAAATATCCACACAACTGCATCAATAGAAATGTACAGCTATACATCTGAATACATATATAAATAGAATTCCATAGAAATGTTATTATACAAATATAAATGTCAATATACAAATATAAAAATACACATATCTACCTATGCAAATACCAATATACCTATTTAAAGAGCCAAATAACTATAATTGTATCAATTGAAATATACACAACTGTATCTCCTATGTATAAGGGGACAGAATTTAACACAACTCTAACAACATATGTGTATACTTATATACACATATGAAATTACAAACAGGTATGTGTATATATCCATACATATGTACAAAGAACACATCCATAAATAGAGCAACATATATATAAAAATATTCCTATACAAACAGGAATATACATATATACATATATAAATATCCACATAATTATCCCTCTTTATGTGTAAGTCCATTCTTCTTTAAACAGAGGGAACTCAGCCTCCCCCCGTCTTCAAAGCCTCTCCCTCTGTCTCTTGCTCCTGTGCAGACCAGCTCTCCTGGACAGGGACAGCAGATGGGACATCTGGGAGGCAAAGGGAACACCAAGTCATTATTGGGACCTTTCCCTTGGCAGCACCTGCCCTTCCAGCAGGGAAGGGAAAACCTCAGAGCCTCCCCAGCAGGGCTGAAAGAACAAGCAGGCCGAGCGGGCCAGCGTGTGGCGAGCGCAGTCGCGGCGGGACTGTCCTGCATCCCCCGGCAGGCCGGCACAGCTCCCGGGCCCTGCCGGCACAGCTGCCTTGCCCAAGGACAGCCCCTGTGCCGGCCGGGGCAGCAGCGCTGAGCAGCCCCAGCACGGGCAGGGGCCGCTCCTGCCCAGCCGGGCAGCGCCCACGGCCAAAGCCCACGCCACCCTCAGCCCTGCCCGGCCTCACTGGCCCTGTGGCCTCACCCAGGCTCTCGAGGTGGCAGCAGCACGTCCCTGTTCACTGCTCTCGCTCCTGGCCTTCAGCTTCTCCCTGCTGGCTCCTGGCAGTGTCTGGCTGGCCTCAAGGTCTTCAGGACAGCTGTGGCAAAAGCGGAGGCTCTGGAATTGGTTCCGAGGCCTGGCAGAGCTGCAGTCCCTGACCCCTCTGTGCTCCCTGCTGGCTCCTCCATCCCCTCAGCCCCGCCGTCCTCTTGGCAAACTCCCAGCCCCCCCTTCAGTTTCTTCAGTCCCTCACAGTTCTCTCACCCCCCTCAGTCCCTTCTGACCTGTTCTGTCCCCTCAGAGTCGGCACCCCCTCAGCCCGTGCCACTTCCTGTCACCTCAGTGCCACCATTGCCCTCTGCTCCCCCACAGCCCTCAGTGCCCCCAGCAGCTCAAGGTCACCGTCCCTTCAGCGTCACCGCCTCCTCAGCCCCCTCAGTCTCACCGTCCCTCAGCAGCTCCTCAGGGGACAGTGCCTGGGGCCACCGGCAGCTCCCACCGCTCCAGGGACAGCCGGGGCTGGAACTGCTGCTCCACCTGGCCCGGCCCCAGCTCGGACCCAGCACAGGAACAGGGGACAGAGGGGGCACAGGGGGAAAAACAAGAGGTGAAAAAGGCAGCCGAGGGCAGAAAGAGGTTAAAATGCAGCCTAAGGCTACACAAACATAAACCTAGCCCTCTGAACATCTATATTTCTCTTCAAATATAACTATCTGCATTTATAAATAGAATTTTAAGTATGTGTATATATGTATATTAATTTTACTCTAGACATATATAAATTTAAATCAGAAAATCTATAAATGTAATTCCATATAAAAATATATATCATATCTATAACTAGTATATTATCTACACTTAACTATGACAGATCTACTAAATAGAGATCTCATATATAATTATAATCTATATTATATATAAATATATAAAAGAATTCAATCTATAGAAACAGAAATTAAAATCGATAAACATAACTATAAGAATTACTTAATAGAACTATAGAAATCTATACATGTAGAACAGAGGGATTCTACCTGCCTGATGGTCACAGGCCCTCCCTCTGTCTCTTCCTGCCGTGCAGGACAGCCCTCCGGGAGACATCCCTCAGATGGCATCTGGGAAGCAAAGGGAACACTGAGTCAATACTGGCTCCTGTGGCTGGGGCCCTGTTTGCCTTGGGCAGCAATTGTCCTGTCAGGGACTGGAGAAGATGGTCTGAAAGGCAGACTCTCCCTTGGGAATTTGAAGCCTGCTCTTTAAAGAACAGGGATCCTTCCAAGTTTCCAAAACTGTGTGAAGCATTCAAGTATCTCAATAAAGTCTCGGCACCCACAGTGCAAATGGCACCCACGAGAGCCTGAAACAGAAGACGGTCCCCTCTCCCACAAAGAAGCCCTGACTTGTTTTTTTCCTCCGTGCTGACAGAAAGACCTCAGGCCACGCTGCAGTGGCTGAGGCTGAAGGGTGCTGTGAGCTGAATCATGAACCAGCTCCGTGATGTCAGATCTACAAACTGCCCTCTACAGTGAGCAGTACCTGCTCCAACTTGACCATCAGCTCTGACAGGACAAGCTGGTAGGGAAAGAGCTCCCTACAAGGCCTGCAGGCTGCACCGACTTGGCCAAGGATTGGATCCAAAGGGCTTCCTCTCTCCTCTTAGTCTCACTAATCTGGGGTCACTCAGGCTTTTCCTTGTGTTACCAGATTTGTCATTTTTCAATTAATTGGCCTCTGATGTTCTGCTCTCTTTGTTTCTCTTGTGTCTCAGGACAGATTCCAGCAAACTGGTACTACAGTCAGCAATTTCGACTTCTGCCCTCATTTTGCACTCTTTTTTTCCCCCCTGTTCCTTCAAGAAGTGCTCAGCCCAGCTTCCCCTGTCACCCTGCAGAAAATTGATCCATGGGCTTCAGCACAAAACTGGGACACCCAGCTTGGTAACGCAGCTCCCACAAGGTCAGGTTTATTCTTGGCTCTCTTGTCACAGCACAGGACTCAGTGTCAGAGCCTCTGGAAAAGTGTGGAGGGCAGGGCTCGGGGAACTTGTGCCAGTGCAGAACTTGAGCTAAAGGCACCAGGAAGCACGGACCCTGCCGACAAGAACTCAGCTCTTCTGATCTCCCTTCCTGTCAGGGACAGGCTCAAAGCAGCCATGGGCCAATGGGGCTCAAACCAATGTGGGCTCTCTCCTTACCAGGCTCCTCAGGCTCTGGGCAACTGTCATTGCAGTTCTTGGTGCCAGATGAATCTTCCTCTGCTGCAGCCTCGTTCATGGGTTCCCTTCCTGAGGACTCAGAGGCAACATGAATATTCCCCTTGAAAGAAAAGCAGAAAGAAAGAAACCCAAAGATCACTCAATATTTTCTTGGACTCACATCAGGGCTACAATAACCCTTCTCCACTCCCAAAGGACGTGGAGCAGAGGCTGGGGAGGAACACTCAGCACACAGTTCACATGATAAATCTTTTCAGTTCAGGATTCCGTGGCCAAGGCTAAACAGAAGCTTTTACAAAATGACCTCTGAGGCAAATTGTGAACACAGAAAACCAGAAGACACCAAATGAGGGGATGTGCCCTCATGCTCTGACCCTGGCTTACCCCACGAGCTGTAAGAAATTAGCCAGCAGAAAGCCAGGGGCTCTCCTTGTTGCCAACACAGCTGTCAGTAAGGGCAGAGCTCGCTCCCAGCACTGCCCAGGGCTGTGTGCTGCAAAGTCACACACAAAGCACACATTTCTGGCTGGGAGTCTCACCACCCCACCCAAGCGCTCAGACAATCCATCACAAGGTGGTGCTTTTTGGAGCCACTGAACAGCGTTAAAAAGCTCTCGGTCCAGCCCCTTTTATTCCCATCCAGTGGGGTTACCTGAGCAGAGGGAGACTTCTCAGACAGGGATCTCCTGATCTCCCTTCCTGTCAGGGACAGGCTCAAAGCAGCCATGGGCCAATGGGGCTCAAACCAATGTGGGCTCTCTCCTTCTTACCAGGCTCCTCAGGCTCTGGGCAACTGTCATCGCAGTTCTTGGTGCCAGATGAATCTTCCTCTGCTGCAGCCTCGTTCATGGGTTCCCTTCCTGAGGACTCAGAGGCAACATGAATATTCCCCTTGAAAGAAAAGCAGAAAGAAAGAAACCCAAAGATCACTCAATATTTTCTTGGAATCACATCAGGGCTACAATAACCCTTCTCCACTCCCAAAGGACGTGGAGCAGAGGCTGGGGAGGAACACTCAGCACACAGTTCACATGATAAATCTTTTCAGTTCAGGATTCCGTGGCCAAGGCTGAACAGAAGCTTTTACAAAATGACCTCTGAGGCAAACTGTGAACACAGAAAACCAGAAGACACCAAATGAGGTGATGTGCTCTCATGCTCTGACCCTGGCTTACCCCACGAGCTGTAAGAAATTAGCCAGCAGAAAGCCAGGGGCTCTCCTTGTTGCCAACACAGCTGTCAGTAAGGGCAGAGCTCACTCCCAGCACTGCCCAGGGCTGTGTGCTGCAAAGTCACACACAAAGCACACATTTCTGGCTGGGAGTCTCACCACCCCACCCAAGCGCTCAGACAATCCATCACAAGGTGGTGCTTTTTGGAGCCACTGAACAGCGTTAAAAAGCTCTCGGTCCAGCCCCTTTTATTCCCATCCAGTGGGGTTACCTGAGCAGAGGGAGACTTCTCAGACAGGGATCTCCTGATCTCCTGAATCATTTTCTCCACAGCAAGGCCAAGATCCAGCGGTGGAGATTCCTCTTCCTTAAGTGCGCTCTCTGCTGAGGCCGTTGATGCTGCTGCACAGGCGGCACTGCCAGGTGGAGCACTGGAGGCTGAATTGCCTGGAGTGGCTGCAAGAATCCAAACACCTTGTGGTCAGGCTCCAGAATGTGGCTTTGGGATGCAGAGCTCTGCTGCTGCCTTGGATGCAACACATTCAAAGGAAAACTAGGCAGAGAATCTTTTCGCCTTCTAGAACCCCCTTGCTAGCAGGCTTAACAATTTCTGTCTCAGAATGACACAGCATTGTGGGAAAATACTTCCAACCGCCAATTTTCAGGACCTTTTGGAAAAGCAAGGCTACAATTCTTTTCCTACCTGGTGGGTTGTAGGCTGGGGGCTGCTGCTCCCTGTGGAGCTGCTGGAAGCTGCAGGGCTGGATCCTGACCACCTCCCGGTCGGCCGGAGGCAGCTGCTCCCCATAGAGCTCCTGGAAGTGGCTGGGGGGCCCCTCCCGGCCGAGAAACAGCGGCCGCTCCCCGTGGAGCCCGAGCAAGTCGCAGGGCGGGATTCGGAGCAGCTCCCGCTCGGCGGGCAGCGGCCGCTCCCCGTAGAGCTCCTGGAAACGGCTCGGCCCCTCGCAGCGGGCCGGCCCCGGCCGGTCCCTGTGCAGCAGGTGGAAGCCGCAGGGCGGGCGCCGGGTGAGCAGCGGCCGCTCCTTGGGGGGCTGCTGGAAGCGGCCGGGCCGGGGCCTGCGCAGCTCCCGCCAGTCCGGCAGCGTCCGCTCCCTGTGCAGCAGGAGGAAGCCACTGGGCAGGGGCCTGGGCGGCAGCGGCGGCCGCTCCTTGGGGAGCGCCTTGAAGCGGCTGCGTCTCTCCCGCCCGTCCGGCAGCGGCCGCGCCCTCGGCAGCTGCCGGGAGCACCTGCTCCTGTCCCCGCCCGCCGCCGGCCGCTGCCTGCTGGCCGCGCTCCGGCGCTCGATGCGGAGCAGGAGCTCGGGGCGGTCGCGGCGAAACCAGGGGTTTGTGTAGTGGAGCCACGCCCCGGCATCACCCGGCGCAGCCGCGCCGGCCCGGCCCGGCACCTTGCGGAAGCCGTAGCGGTAGAGCTGGCGCACGAAGCTGAGGAACCGCGTGGCTCTGAAGGTGTGCGGGGCTGGCCCCTGGTCGCCGCCCGGGCTGAGAAGCTCCCGCTCGAAGAGGGAGCGGTCAATGAGCAGCCCCTGGGCCTGGCTGTCCCAGCGCACGGAGAGGACGCGGGGGCTGTTCACCAGGCGCCACAGCTTGGCGGGGAAGGTTCTGGCATTGAGGCCGGCGGGGAGCGGCAGCTCCGCCATGGCGCCGATCGACGACTGTTTGCCACAACGGCCGCGGCGCAACGGCCTCAGCCGCACTGGCAGCGCGCGGCCTGAAGGGGAGCGCTGCGCTCGGCCCCGCGCGTGCCAGGCCCGGCCCCGGCACGGGCCGGACTCGGCGGGGACGAGCGCGGCAGAGCCGGGGCTGCGGGCACAGCGCGGCGGCTCCGGGGGCTGGCCGGACACGGCCCGGCAGGGGAAGGCCCTGGAGAGGGCTCTGGGAGCACTGGCAAGCTCTAGCCCCACAATGTATCGCGTGCCTGCGTCACTGTTGGTGACAGAGGGAAAGGATGTCTTCATTGCCTTCTGTCTTCGTTGAGGAACGGATGAAAAGGGGATGTTAGAAAACATTCTTTGGCAGCAGACTGGCTGGTTTTTTTCTGGCCATCTCTGCCTGTCTTTGGCAGAAGCAGCACATTTCTAGTTATTTGGAGTCAGCAGCAGCAGGAAGGGGCAGCAATTCTGTCAGCATTGACATCAAAGCTAAAGTGCTGCACCCTGGATGGGTGTTGCTTTATGCAAGGGATTCGTGGCGTGCAGTTGTTGCAATCTCACGCTGGTGTTTTCACAAATTAGGGTTGCATGTTCTTTCCTCAGGAATTACCTCTTCTTTCCTCTGATCTTAGGAGAGTTCAAATCCAAATGCCTCCTGCAGCCAACTCTTGTCAATGTAGACTGCCAAAGGAGATCTTGCAATGGAGAGACACCGCCTAGATCTCCTGTGGAGAGATGCAGGAGGAAGTTTTTTCCCTTTGTTTTGAAGTCTTGTTGGGGAGCTGCTTGTGCTTTGGGGAACACACACCACTAACGTGTATCCTAGCCTTGCAGGTTCATTCCTGTGCTTCCTGACACACCACAGAGACTTGGAGGCAGTTGTGCTGGGGCAGAAATTTCTGTCTGGGAATTTTTGAAATGCTTCCATTATTCTTTTTTTTTTCCCTTCCCCCCCCTTCGCCCCCCCCCTTTTTTTTTTTCCTGCAGAAATATTGCCATAATCTTTTGCTTCTACAGCATCTTTTTCTTGTCTTTGGGAACTTCCCTCTGCTGCCCTCCCAATCAAGCCAGTTCCCTGTGTTCCTTCCCAAACTGAGGAGTAGCCCATGGCCTCTGCTCTCCAGCTACAACAGAAAGAAGTACAGAGCCTGCTGTTCTGGGAGAGGAGCTTCTCCTTCCTGCCTGCTTTCCCTTTGGGACAGGTTGGTGGGTGTTTATTTGATAAAAGGAGATTTAAACACTGAAGGAGCTGCGTTTCAAACTGCTCCATGCTTGAGCTCTTCTGTGGGTATTCTTGGGCAAAAGGCCTCTCTGTATGAGCTCCCAGTGGGCAGGTTAAGGAAGGAGGTTGATATTTCAGGGTTGTAACTGCTGAAAGCAGTTAGTTTCTAGAGGTGTCCAAAGCTGGGAGTGTCTACTTTTCTTACATGCCTGCAAAAAAGAAGTGGCAAAGTGGGAATTCAGTTTGCAGAGCTAGCGATTATGTGTGTTTTCCAAGAAATGGACTGGCAGAGAGGCAGGTCTTACGCTGTGAAAAACAAGGTTCATTTTCTTGGTAAAATCTAATAAAGGACAATAGGAAACAAAGATAATAAAGCAAAGATTAACAGCCAGGTGCTTGGTGTTCTGCCAAGAGCACACTTGCTATTTTGGGGACACCCTTTATATATCTTTTTTATTGTATCAGCCTGTTGCATTTTTATAAACAATTACATGTATTTAAACTTTTCCTCTAACTACTTTACATGTGCCAAGAACTGTTTAGCATGACTCCTCCTCAGGACCACCTTTTTAGAGCACATGCATTCCCTGGCTGTGATTTTAGTCTGTTCTTATTATCACCTCCAGTTTGGGTTTTGGTCCATACTTTCTTCAGACTGTAGGTGCTGATAGTTGCAATATCAGTAGCAGGGGCCTTCATCATACATTCATTGGATGTTATCCCAGCCAAGCAGGCAATTCAACTACCACAAGCATAACCATATCAGCTATTTCACTACTGCACCTAAGTTTAGTTAATAGCAGAAAAAATCTGTAGCAAAATTACTTGAACATTATACGGATAATATCCATTTCAATATTTTGCAAAAAGCCAGTATTATAATAGGTATTTATAACAGTGCAAAACTGACTGTCTCTGTTTTGGTGGTGAGGAGGGTCAGAGACACAGACACACTAGCTGAAGGAATAGTGTGATTACTATCATGCAGAAGTGCAAAAGAGAATCAGAAAAGGATAAGCTCAGCAATGTACTTCATTATTATTACAGAAGCTTGCTTCTAGTTATTAAGAAAGATACATCATCAGATACCCTAATACTTTATCCTTCATCCAGATCCACACATCAGCTGGATGAAGCTGGCCCAGCCAAGCCCTGCAGAGCTACAGCTGAGAACTGTGAAATTGTGTGGCGCCCCCACCTTTGCCGGCCACAAGGCTTCTGACTGAACTGTGAGAGTAGCCTGGCTTTGACAGTGCTGAACGAGCAATCTGACAGAGCTTCTGATGTGGGACATCTGATTCATTCTCCTCTTGGTTTTATCCCTGAGCCTGGCCAGGACTCAAGGAGGAACCAAGGCCAGGTGTGGCCTTGTCCAGTTTCTTAATGCTGAAAGGTGAAGATGTGTTTCACCAATGAATGGATGCATAGATCATGTTGATAGTACTACTTGGTTAAGGTGCGCGATACATAGAATATTTGGTTGGAAGAGTCATCTAGAGAGCAGCTGTGGCTCAGGGCCTGTTGTTCAGGCCTTAGTTCTTCAGTATTTTGTGGTGCAAATCAATGCTGTGCAGAGCTGGAAACAAACAAGTCCCTCTTTTAGCACATTTCAGACAGCGAACAGGATTACTGCAAGGCTGGGCTAGGGCCAAGAGCACAAGTCCAGCACCCTGCATTTGCCCACAGGAAGCTGTCCAGACCAAGAAGGCCACTCCTGCCCAGGTGCTGAAGTGCCCAAAGCTTCCTCCCCGCTTGCAGCTCTGCAGAGCCCATGGAGCTTGGGGTCCTGGGCAGCCAGGGCAGCCCAGCTGCCTTGGAGCACAAGGAGTGTCCCAGAGAAGCTGCCGCCCTTTGCTTTGTAAATGTTTCTCAGAGTCTTGCCATTAATCCACAGTATCTCACATGTGTTCCTTTACTCTCGCAAATATAAGACAACTTTTTGAGAAAAGTGACTGACGTAGCTTCTGCTGCTGGTGGTGCTTTTGTCTGTATGTCAGGGCAGGTGATTTGAACCAAGGACGGAGTCCACAATTGACATCTCCATTTTGCCAAGTCGAGAAAACCATTCAGAATTGGGCTACTGATGCTGAGCAGGTTTCCTAGTTTTTGGAAAGTTACAACCTTAAAAAGCCAACAGATTTTCCTCCATGAGTGTCATTCCGATTGGGAACGGCTATAAAGAACGACACAAACTCTCAAGGGAGTTTCAACACGAGAATTCTCTGGTTTATTACTTCAGGCCTGCTTTTTATAGACTGGTACGTGGAAGGTACAGAAAGGAAACTCTTATTGGTTAGCAAAGTGCTACATCACCATCACTGGTCAGGGGCACACTACCCCCCTGACCCTCTCCTGCAAGGGAAAACAAGAGGACAGATAAACAGCAGCTGGCAGTTGTTTTCTGTCTCTGAGGATTGTTTTGAAATCCTCCTTTGAATTTCTCAGGCTAGCTTCTCAGGCAGGACTGAGAGGCCATGGGCCTGCAGTTTCTGCAGCTCCCTGCAGCCTGTTCCAAAGCTAGCATCCATACATGAGGATACCAGCAGTAGCATGATGCCAATTCTTTGCACCTTCTTTCTCTATCTTTGGTGCTTTTAAGAGTTCCTCAGTGCCCAGCAGGAATGAAAGCACGTGTGATAATGTAAGTGATTTGAGAGCTGTGTTGTGCCTCGCCGTATCAGTGTCCATGACAAGCTGGACACCCCACCTGTGGGTCTGTTGAGTTAAATCCATCCCAATTCTGTGCAAACAGCAACCCCGAGATGGCGAAAAGAGCAAGGACAGTGGGTGGGTGTGCGTGCACACACCCGCAGGCTGACTGCTGTGTGAGCAGAAGGTTTTGGACAGTGGTACATCTTCAACTCTCCCAGGTTGAGGGAATATATCAAATCTATATGAAATGAAAATATTTATCAAAATATATAAAAATGCATCAAATAATACATATTTATTTATATGTAATTTATTATCTCTAATACAACACTTTACATAGTTTAATATACATACTATAATAAATAGCTTGTATAAAATATATACTTGATCCTTTCCTAAGCCATTGCCTGTAGGTGAAATAGACCATGTCCTAGTGTTAGTACATTTGTGCCTTCTGGTACTACTTATTACAGCATCAACTCCTGTGGGAGTTCCTTTGGGGAACTTCACACAAAGGGCTTCAATCATTTCAGCACTTGTGAGAACTTGTTGCTTCCCAGTTCTCCAGCATCCTTCTGGATTTTGGACCATTTCAGCACCTGTATCCATAGCCCTTCCTTTACGCCCAGCCTGCAGCAGTTACAGTCAATGTTGCCTCCCCCTTGCTCCAGCTTATTTGCAGAAGTGCTGCCAAAGGCAGTAGAGCTGGCTCAGGATTCCTGTTGGGATGATGTTCAGAGGGACACTTGGAGTGCTTCCTAAAGAGCTGCTTGTGGGATGAGGATGGAGGATTTTCCCTCCCTGGGTGGCTCCTACTTGGAGTTCTACAATTAGTGAAGTCCCAGAGTATATTGGTTTTGCAAGGCCTGGTTTTAGGTAGCAGGGCTGGATCATCATTCTCACAATGATGGCTCCTGTGAGAAGCTGCTGGAAGCTTCCACTGTGTCCAAAAGAGCCAATGGCTGATGACTGTTGTGCTGCAGTTTTGTTCATTATATTTGATTCAATTACCCTCTGTATTGTTAAGTTGTACCCCCTCCTATGTTAATAGTTTAGTCCCAGTTGTGCCAATCCACCCTGATACCTGCCCCTTTTTCCCGAATGTTCCCTGTTCCCAAATGTTCTGTTCCCCTCCCATTAGGTTATCTATCCTCCCTTGTGCCAACCCCCTGCCTGGACTGCCCCCTTTGGAATTCCCCTATTCCTCCAAGCCCCACTGGCCCATGTGACCTGCTCTCCTCTGTTGGGAAGGTAGAATTAGAAAGAAATTATAAATATGATTTTGTAGCCAGAAAGGCTAAGGAAGAAATACAAATGATAGCACGGTTTGAATAATTCAAAGAAACCAACCGGGCTGGTATGCCAGAACACATTCTTTCCTGCAATAAAACCAAGCTGAGACCCCTCATCCCAGCCTTATAAGGAAAGGTCTGAAGGACCCTGAGATAACTAAAAATATGCAAAAATAGCGATTTCTATAGGTTGTACACAAATGTTACTATATTAGTATACTTAGAAAGATTGGTTAGTTAAGGAATAGAATATTCAAAGGTATAGGTTATATAAGTAGTAGTATAGAAGAGCTCGGGCTCTTTTCGCTCTCTTTTTTTTGCTCTCTTTTTGCGCTCTCTTTTTTTCTCTTGCTTGCTCTTTTTCTGTCTCTTGCTCTCTCTATATCTCTCTACCCCACGCCCTGAAATAAACTTCTAACACTTAACTCGATTATAGAGGTCTTTGCCGTGTCTCTGACCGTCCCCAGAAAGCGTCTCCTACAGATTGGCGAGCCAGCCAGGAGCAGATCGTTTTCTTCAGCTGTAAGAGACCCTCATGGACGGTAACTAACACTTATCTGTCGTGCCTGCTTTCCCAGTACCGTGAGCAAGGACCACGCTGCTTAGCAGCGAATTGGGCCGAAGCTCTTTAAAGTTGCAAGGGGAGT